ATCCCGACATACACATGGGTTAATGAAAACTTGTAGTTACAAACATCCCGACATACGCATGGGTTAATGAAAACTTGTAGTTACAAACATCCCGACATACGCATGGGTTAATGAAAACTTGTAGTTACAAACATCCCGACATACGCATGGGTTAATGAAAACTTGTAGTTACAAACATCCCGACATACGCATGGGTTAATGAAAACTCGTAGTTACAAACATCCCGACATACGCATGGGTTAATGAAAACTTGTAGTTACAAACATCCCGACATACACATGGGTTAATGAAAACTTGTAGTTACAAACATCCCGACATACGCATGGGTTAATGAAAACTTGTAGTTACAAACATCCCGACATACGCATGGGTTAATGAAAACTCGTAGTTACAAACATCCCGACATACGCATGGGTTAATGAAAACTTGTAGTTACAAACATCCCGACATACACATGGGTTAATGAAAACTTGTAGTTACAAACATCCCGACATACGCATGGGTTAATGAAAACTTGTAGTTACAAACATCCCGACATACGCATGGGTTAATGAAAACTCGTAGTTACAAACATCCCGACATACGCATGGGTTAATGAAAACTTGTAGTTACAAACATCCCGACATACACATGGGTTAATGAAAACTTGTAGTTACAAACATCCCGACATACGCATGGGTTAATGAAAACTTGTAGTTACAAACATCCCGACATACGCATGGGTTAATGAAAACTTGTAGTTACAAACATCCCGACATACGCATGGGTTAATGAAAACTCGTAGTTACAAACATCCCGACATACGCATGGGTTAATGAAAACTTGTAGTTACAAACATCCCGACATACACATGGGTTAATGAAAACTTGTAGTTACAAACATCCCGACATACGCATGGGTTAATGAAAACTTGTAGTTACAAACATCCCGACATACGCATGGGTTAATGAAAACTCGTAGTTACAAACATCCCGACATACGCATGGGTTAATGAAAACTTGTAGTTACAAACATCCCGACATACACATGGGTTAATGAAAACTTGTAGTTACAAACATCCCGACATACGCATGGGTTAATGAAAACTTGTAGTTACAAACATCCCGACATACGCATGGGTTAATGAAAACTTGTAGTTACAAACATCCCGACATACGCATGGGTTAATGAAAACTTGTAGTTACAAACATCCCGACATACGCATGGGTTAATGAAAACTCGTAGTTACAAACATCCCGACATACGCATGGGTTAATGAAAACTTGTAGTTACAAACATCCCGACATACACATGGGTTAATGAAAACTTGTAGTTACAAACATCCCGACATACGCATGGGTTAATGAAAACTTGTAGTTACAAACATCCCGACATACGCATGGGTTAATGAAAACTTGTAGTTACAAACATCCCGACATACGCATGGGTTAATGAAAACTTGTAGTTACAAACATCCCGACATACGCATGGGTTAATGAAAACTCGTAGTTACAAACATCCCGACATACGCATGGGTTAATGAAAACTTGTAGTTACAAACATCCCGACATACACATGGGTTAATGAAAACTTGTAGTTACAAACATCCCGACATACGCATGGGTTAATGAAAACTTGTAGTTACAAACATCCCGACATACGCATGGGTTAATGAAAACTCGTAGTTACAAACATCCCGACATACGCATGGGTTAATGAAAACTTGTAGTTACAAACATCCCGACATACACATGGGTTAATGAAAACTTGTAGTTACAAACATCCCGACATACGCATGGGTTAATGAAAACTTGTAGTTACAAACATCCCGACATACGCATGGGTTAATGAAAACTCGTAGTTACAAACATCCCGACATACGCATGGGTTAATGAAAACTTGTAGTTACAAACATCCCGACATACACATGGGTTAATGAAAACTTGTAGTTACAAACATCCCGACATACGCATGGGTTAATGAAAACTTGTAGTTACAAACATCCCGACATACGCATGGGTTAATGAAAACTCGTAGTTACAAACATCCCGACATACGCATGGGTTAATGAAAACTTGTAGTTACAAACATCCCGACATACACATGGGTTAATGAAAACTTGTAGTTACAAACATCCCGACATACGCATGGGTTAATGAAAACTTGTAGTTACAAACATCCCGACATACGCATGGGTTAATGAAAACTCGTAGTTACAAACATCCCGACATACGCATGGGTTAATGAAAACTTGTAGTTACAAACATCCCGACATACACATGGGTTAATGAAAACTTGTAGTTACAAACATCCCGACATACGCATGGGTTAATGAAAACTTGTAGTTACAAACATCCCGACATACGCATGGGTTAATGAAAACTCGTAGTTACAAACATCCCGACATACGCATGGGTTAATGAAAACTTGTAGTTACAAACATCCCGACATACACATGGGTTAATGAAAACTCGTAGTTACAAACATCCCGACATACGCATGGGTTAATGAAAACTTGTAGTTACAAACATCCCGACATACACATGGGTTAATGAAAACTTGTAGTTACAAACATCCCGACATACGCATGGGTTAATGAAAACTTGTAGTTACAAACATCCCTACATACACATGGGTTAATGAAAACTTGTAGCTACAAACATCCCGACATACGCATGGGTTAATGAAAACTTGTAGTTACAAACATCCCAACATACACATGGGTTAATGAAAACTTGTAGTTACAAACATCCCGACATACGCATGGGTTAATGAAAACTCGTAGCTACAAACATCCCGACATACGCATGGGTTGTTCTTTAACGCCAGTTTACACAAAACACTGATTTTTAAACTGTTTATATCTATCTATGAAAAGAACAAATTTAAAACCGAAATGAATTTTGTGTTATAAGAAGATTTTTGATAAAGCCGGACAAGGTAATTTTTATCCCTGCAGCTACACTATGCACTTACCAGTATTATATATTTCTTCTTTTTGCTTAACTAAAATTTAGGTAACATATAACATTAATTTCTTATCTATTGTGTAGCCTCTTAAATGATGAAAACTGTCTAAAATACATATCCAATTTTAATTTCTATGTGAATTCGTACTTTTTACCTAGTCCTTTGCCAAATTTAATATTTCATGCATTTCTAAATTATTCCAATTTGCATCATATAAGGGAATTTTCTAAATTTTTCCATCACAATATTCAATTTGTTTACATTAATTATTTTCCTTGCAACATTTTTTTCTTTATTTTACCAAAAAATATTTTTGAGAATTTATCTTGTCATATCTTAAAAATCCGTTTAATGGAAAACTATTGAAATGTTATATAAGAAAATTCTTTGCTTCATTTGTATTACAATTGATTTCATAAAAATTAATAGGTTTTATTGAGGGAAATTTAGTATTATGTGTTTGAAGCAAAGACAACCAAATGAAACACCTACAGGAATTCATGACGTTTTCCAGCATTCAAAAGCTGTTTAAATGTCACTATTGTCGGAGGAAATGTTGAAATACATTCGAAAACAACATAGATCAAGAAAAATCTATGAAAGAAATCTATTTCTCGATCACATGATAGCACACTTCCAATGGAGAGAAATTTACATAGAAATGTACAATTCTCAGGCAATTCACATGAGTTCCAAATATGGATTTAACCTTCCTGCACTGGGATGCACTGCATTTGCAGCTTGCCACTGCCATCATCATGAATGTATGGACACGCCATGTACAGATTAATGATCTCACAGGCTCCAGTCTTTATGCTCTAGTACTTTCACTAAAAGCATCTTAATTGTTCCCCTAGCAGAAATCAATTATGACATTTATGCTTACCTGTACAAAATGTCCCTCCCAATCAGTTACAGCTCATTGTGTGCCATAACCTACTAGCACCATCCACCTCATACATTATGTATCGACTTTCCACAAAATTACCATGCTTATTAAATGTCACCGTGTTTCTGGTAAATTTCGACTTTATTTTGTATACTTGCTGGGCTAATGAATATTGTATTTTTCATAACTTACCATAGTGCAGTGCCTATTTCCTTTTTAGATTGGTAACCTTTTTTGAGCACCCTAATATGAAATATTTAAAGAAAGTTTGGAATCTTTCTTAATTTCAATATCATCAAAATTTTAAATTTCATAAAAGCACAGGTCGTGGAATTAGAACTGATCACCATCAAACTGAGAAATGATAACACTTGTGTTTTGTTATTAGAATGGAATTATTTTAAACACCGAGGTCCTGAAAAAATATTTTGTAATAATATTTATGAAACAGATATATATTATATTTCAAACCGATGTTTTGTTATCTTTTATCAATTTAAATTCTCAGTAACAAGTTTGTAATCTTAGTTGGAATTACTTTTATGCCAAATCGATTTCTTATCGTTTAAGTTGTCGAAGAAAATAAATGTGGGGACCACTGATAATGTGTGCGATAACCGAGAAAACTGTTTGTGTGTGTGGTCATCTTTCTTTGTAACTGAAGGAAACAAATCAAAATATTTCCTTTTCTCAATGACGCGGAAACTATATTGAAACACATTGGGCAACCTTCTGGACACTCCTCAGTTAACTTCAAAATGTATATTTCAGTTTTCTTTCCAAAAATGATGAATGTATATTTATAGAAATAGTCTTAATAAAATCAGAATCAAATCAATTTTTATCATAATAAAGTCCAACTTTCCATTTGGAATAAACGAAGCAGTCATTGAATTCTAAGAATCATTCGCTAATGATTTTGTTAAATATGAATGGCAATTTTGAAGTTTAAGAACAATTGAAAGATTGAAATACATTCTGTTCTATAACAAAAAAGTATCAACTAACCAATACTTCTTTGCTAAATTCACAGGGTTAACTGAAAAATATCTGAAAGTTCGGTTCTTGTCCAAAACATTTGTGCAATTACAAATAATTTCTAGTTAAAATCTGGGCTAATTGTGCTCGGGTCTGTTTCAAAATCTTCATAAACAACACTTACAGTAGAAGCAGATGACCGGCCTCAGGAAGAAACAATCTACCAGCCTGTGTGGTACCCGTGGAACTTCTGAAAAACAGTAAGTAAGGAAACCATTACATTTTTGATGTAAGCATTATATTCATTGATCGATCAGAAAAATTTGCTGGAGTAATAATATCTGACTTACCGTCTACTGACAGATTCACTGAAACCCTAATTCTTAAACAACCCCAGTTATACCTTGTCTGCTCACTCCACACTTGTTATTATAGTTTGGAAAAACGATAATTATACCTATGCAAAAATTACAAACATTATCAGTTAATGCTTGCCAACTTTTTTGAAATTTCCATGGGAGAGATTATGCTTGCTCAGATCTCAGAGAATAAATTAAATGTGTGTTTGTTCTTAACATTTTAAAATGGCATCATTTGAGCTGTTCTTTCAGATGAAATTATCAGATGGGAACAGTTCAGTAAATTCACTGGCACAATTTTAGGGTCCAGAATCAGGAGTCTCCCTCCAATATAGGAGAGTTAGCAAGTAGGGTTACGTAGTACAATGTCACATGATACATAATTGTAATCAAACAATAGAATAATAAACTATACTGATCAACTCACGATAGTTAACCCCCAAATCACGAAAAAATCGGTTGACACAACACACAGAACTGTTTACATTTTATAACGAAAATCGGATAGAGAAAATACACTTATAAAAGGCTGATATCAGAAATATCTATTTGTTCCAGTAAGTAACACAATGGAACACACAACTTGCTGAGGATTAGTACGACGTGGAAAGCATGTTTTACAGATTATTGGAGTGTAGGTAAACAGGATTTTACTGAACAAGATTAAATCTAAAAATTCACAAGCTCAGATCTCGATGTACCCGACGTCTGTCTAATGTATTTTGTTGGTCTAACAGTAGCTATATGTGAAATATTAAATCATATTTTTTACTAATAACTTATATCAATACAGTCTCTTTTAAAGTGACCATAAGAACACATCAACACATCTTTATTTAAAACGCAGTTACTACCAATTCAAACTAAAACATAATTAAATAAATATATTTTCTGAGATTAGAAGCGATGAAAATTTTAACCTTAAGCAGCATACAAATCTATATCTAAGATTGAAGAAATATATTCTGATTGGTAATTATAAGGGTCAGATTTTCAAATCATATTGCTGGTATCACCGACCATTACACTTGGTCCTATTTGTTGTGCTTAAATTACGTTTATAACATATATAAATCTAAATGCCTCGCAGCATATTTCACATTTTTAAGATTTCAGGCATTTCTGAGATTTTCACTTTTGGACGTTTTTACTGAAGGCTATGATCCCTTTTATAACCCCATGTACATCACTCCGTGAAATTTTAATGAAATATCGTAGCTCTGACTAACTCCCTGTGGTATTCAGGTGAGTTACAATGTCTATATGACATAATTACTAAATTTGAAGACAGAGCAGGTAGCTTGAATTCACCACGTAGGAAAAGCTGGAACGCTCAAACGAAAAAACACTTAAAACGACGTGACGCATGCATGCATGCACGAAGAAACTCACAGGAAATGCATGTGCAATAGATACGCATAAAAAAAATACAAAATGTGTTATATATATATATATTAAAAAAAAATACAACCCTATGTAACACGAAACAGTCTGCCATTTGGAATCTTAAGCAATGTTTTTTTTTAACAAAACTATTCTGAATTATAAGTATGATTTTTTCGCCGCCGCCCGTCTGTGGGATAATGAAGATAGAAGCAAGGATGTGATTACTTACCCAGAGAGAATAGATATAAAACATGGTAGAGATATAATCCATGCTACACTGCTGGCTGGCTGTACCAGATCTCAGTAGAGTGTGTATGCACACACATGGCCCACTGTACATAGTGCCTGGCCCACTGACCTACTTACCCAGTTGTATGTTCACATACGCTTCACAACAGGACACAAGCAGGGTAAAAATAGCCCGCAGGGGGAGGCTCTATTTGTTTTATACAATTACATATTACAACCTCACCTATAAAAAATATATAGCAAAGACCACTATACTGTAGTACCTATAGAATTTCCAGTGTAGAATTAGGACGGGAACAACTGCTAGTGAGATCTACTTCAAACAGGACTCATGTGTAATTTCATATCAGTATATTGCTTAATACAATATTTAAACTACAATAAAATCGTGAAATTGATTCCGATTCGTCTGCCTACCTGAGTAATGGTGAGCGATGCACCTGGGAAAATTACGTCATCCCTTACCAGTAACTGATTTTATTTGTGATGGGAAAACTCTTTAATTTAAATGGAACATGTACCTCATTCAAAACGCAAACACGGAATTCAATATCTAAGAATAAAAAATTGGCAGGATATTTCTACCAATACACTTTTTGCGGGAAAGGTTCTGAGTTTAATTAAATATCCACTCATAAACTCAGCCTTCTGGTTCCTGGTTAATTAAAACGCCAGGCTTTGTACTAGGCACTATTTTAAGATGAAACTTCAAATCATTAAACCAAAAGCAAATATTTGAAATGTGCAAGCTTCCAAAAATAGACAGCATTTATTGGAAACTTTTGTCTGCAAATTATTTAAATACTTTTGATTGCGTAACAGGTAACAAAATGAGGCCTATGAAATGTATGTACTGGAACTTCCTATTGATTGTCACTCCAATTATTAGGAAAGACCCTCTTACCAGGGTTGTACTACTAACCTCTATGATTATTTATATCAATATATATATGTGAGTGTGTGTGTGCTCTTCTTTAAATAGACCTCAATTCAGATAGCTTATCAGCAAATATTTAACTAGATTTAAACTTTAATATAAATATTTCATGTACTTAAGTTCTCTATAATTACATATACTGAAATGAATCAGATCTCAATCAGGTTTTTGAAAAAAAAAAAATTCAGTAATATATGGTTACAGTCTGATGATAACATCTTTGCCACGTTTCATCTTTTCACTGGATCCAAAACCGAATGGCTTTATAAGCAATAAAACATGAGAAAAATGATCACGACTCATCAAGTCGACTTATCACCATCCTAATAATAGAGGCGCAAATAAAACTCCTCTTTTATTTAACTCTCATGTCACGAACACAGCTAATCAAATTACTGAGAGCGAGCACAATTTTGGGAGTTGTAGAATTTCATTTCTATGAGTACATTTCCCACTTAAAAGATACAAAGGAATTGATTTATTTACTTGGTACATGGTCAGTCATCATGACAGTCAAACACAGATTCAAATATCTCGACTCAAGTGAAAACAGTGACGATTTCTTGCCCTTGTCGTCTTTGCCACTGAACTAGAAGGCTAGGTCAACACCCTGTACTATTTAAATCTCTCAGATAAACACAGTTTGCACATCCTTGTCACCATATGGGAGCATTGATTTTGAGTGGAGCAAAAATATTACATTTAACCTTTTGAAGTCATGAAAAGAACAACTCACGAAAAATGACAGATTTGCAGTATCATCCTCCGACCCCATCACACAGAATTAACACACGACCCCATCACACAGAATTTATACAGAAATCCCCGACCCCATCACACAGAATTAACACATGACCCCATCACACAGAATTAACCCCCGACCCCATCACACAGAATTACCACACGACCCCATCACACAGATTTAACACATGACCCCATCACACAGAATTAACCCACGACACATCACACAGAATTAACAGAAATACCCGACCCCATCACACAGAATTAACAGAAATCCCCGACCCCATCACACAGAATTAACACACGACCCATCACACAGAATTAACAGAAATCCCCGACCCCATCACACAGAATTAACACACGACCCCAACACACAGAATTAACAGAAATTCCCGACCCCATCACACAGAATTATCACAGAAATCCCCGACCCCATCTCACAGAATTAACACACGACCCCATCACACACAATAAACACACGACCCCATCACAAAGAATTAACACAGAAATCCCCGACCCCACCACACAGAATAAACACACGACCCATCACACAGAAATAACACACGACCCCATCACAAAGAATTAACACAGAAATCCCTGACCCCATCACACAGAATTATCACAGAAATCCCCGACCCCATCACACAGAATAAACACAGAAATCCCCGCCCCCATCACACAGAAGTAACACACGACCCCATCACAAAGAATTAACACAGAAATCCACGACCCCATCACACAGAATTAACACAGAAATCCCCGACCCCATCACACAGAATTAACACAGAAATAAAGTTATTTGAAGTAGGTGTAAGAACATAATGTATTCTGATATTTCAAGTTTTGTTCACTTCATTCAACTATTTTTTATTCAACTGAAGGAAATAATTGGAATAATCTTGGACAGAAATGTAAGCCAATTAGTTACTGTAACAGAGGTCTGTCCCAGTAATCCACATTTTCATAAGTAGGGCAGAAAAAACTCGTTAGATTCCCCCCCACAGGTTCAAAAAGCACCTCTAGGTCACCTGACAATGGCTGTTACTCCAGTCCTTTGAATGAGGGTCTGATAGCTCAAGTACCTTTACATACGCCAGCAGTAATAAGTTTTTAAAAGTATGATAAGCTTGATGTCAAGATCTTGTTGAAATTCATAATGAATATTTGCAAAAAAGGTGAAGTGTGAAAAATTACAGTAATATAAGAGTTTTGGACAAAATCTTAATGCTTATTGTTACAAATGGGTTGTTTTATCAAAGAAACCTGAATGTATTTGAATAAATTAAAATATAAAGAACACGATAAATAATCTCACAGATTTGTCAAGCTTACAAATCTTGAATGGCCAGATCCAAATGTCGTTGTAAAGATTATTAGATTTCAGCAAGCCTAGTATTCAGGTGAATGTTTGAAGATTTGATCACTGTTCCCCGATATACCTGTGATATACTGGAGTGTAGAACCTTTTTACTTGACCTCTCACCTTATTTTCAAAAGTACTTCTGTCGACAAACAATGGACACTAGTACTGCTGGTCACTGACATTTTACTGACCAACAGATAATACTAACTAATATT